GTTATGCTATGAAATAATATTTTAGGAGCTTGCCCACAGATATTTTGATACTTTATTTAACAAAATATGCAAAAATGGGGTGAAAAAAGTGTATGCATTTTCTGGACATGCCAGGTTCACCAAAACTCGAGTGAGTGACTATCTGTGAAGTGGCTTGAAGGCTGTAAAGTGCACATTGAAAGAAATTCAATCTAACTATCCATTAACTATCTGCTTCACATTCAGTAAGGGTGTGTAATGCATTTTGTGCATGATTTTGAAAGCAGATCTACTTGAGATCTGGGCCAAATTGATTATATAGTGGAAGATGAGTACTCTGGGCATGGAAATGTTAGTATAAGATCCGGACACTTGCTTTAGGCTCACAGGATTTATATTTTATAGTGGGCTAATTCCAAGTGTAAAAAAAATATCTGTAAGACTATAGTGACAGAAACAAGTACTTACAATTTAAATTTTTTTCTTTGTTTTGTTCTTTTTTTTTTTTTTTTTTTTTTTAATTCATGTCTGAACTTCTTACCTGAGACCTGGCCCAAATACTTGTACATTCCTGACATAAGCAGCAAGTCAAAGCTTCTCAAATTAGAACAGATAATATATGTGATACTTAGTGTATACTCTCTTTACTAATATGGAAATAGATGTTACTGATTTGTAACCAGAAAACCAACGTGGAAGTTCCTTGCAAAGGATAAAATACTTCATGTTGTAAGTGAATAGAGATAGACTATCTGGATGATTGTGTTCTTCACTTGTGCCCCGCAGTCACTGGAGCGAAAGCCGCTTTAGATACAGTAGTACCTTACTGTATTATTTGTCCTATTGTGTTCTAAAAATGTAGCCTGTAGCCCTGTCTTAAGTACCTAAGTTCCCTGTTCAGTTCATTACACGACTCTTAGGAGTGGGATTCAGAAAAGGCTTTGTGCTGAGTAGGGAGGACGCTTTGTGTTAACCAGAAGGGAGTATGGCAGAACGAGCCATACATCTTAAACTGTTCCTCTCTTTGGCCTCCATCTGAGAACAAAATTCACAACTCAATTCTTCTGTTTTTATATGCTGAATATTGTGTTTACACCATGAATGAAGATACCTGTGAGCCAAGTTTGGAAGCAGAAGCATGTGTGGTGAGGTCTTGTAAGCCAGCTTGGGTTTGGCAGTTGTGTCAGTGTATGCCAGCTAGAAAAAGTTGCCAAAAGTACTGCAGATGCAAGGTTTCCTGTGTTAGGAACTCAGCTCTCCTGTCCCATCTGAAAACAATGCAGGATATACACAGGCCAAGATTTTCCTTTGCTTGATTCCAGTTTCACCTAGTCTGAAAGTTGCCTTCGCTGCTAAACACTTAGCCCTGTGTTGGGTCATATCCTCTGGTTGAGGGAGCCCATTTGTGTGTGCTGAGGCAGAGAAAGGTCCTGCAGAAAGGTGAACCAGTACTGAGCAAACCAACCAACCAGTTTCTATATCTTGTCACAGGATTTTAAGATTTCAGCTCAGTGCTTCACCTTAGCAAGTATGCTGTAGCTCAGGGACTCACAGCTTTGGGACCTCAGCTGCTCATCATATAGAGGTTTTCTTGGCAGTAGAAATTTCCTGGCTGTAGTACTAGAGCTCTGCATTCTCCATTTATTGCATAGAGTAGTCTAGGACTGAGTTGTACTTTTTTGGAATAACAGCTGTTTTGTTTTTTTTTTTTTTTAATCAAATGGCTGCTAGTTACCCTGTTACTGTATATATAGTTAGAATTTCTCTCCCGTGCGTCATCAGAAGTCAACCGTAAATCTTACTCTTTGTGTTAAACTTCATGTTTTCAGTCAGTGTCAGATACAGTTTAATTGGGCTTGCTGCAGAAGGTATCTTGCTGTGCCCATCTTGTGATTTCTCGATAAAATGGAGAAAAGACAGGTGAAAAACTCTCAGCCTGTCATGCTGAACTTGGTTCTGGGGTAGTGTAAAGCAAAACTAGTTGTCTGAAAATGCCATTTGTTAAATTTTAGGTGCCACAAAGCTCTCAGTTACTTGACAAGTTCATTGGGTGTTTTAAAAAATGATGTGTTTGGATTTATTAGAAATCGGATCTTTCTGATCTGAAGAGCTAGGCCTCAGCCGAGCAGGAGATATGGTTCAGTATATTGTCACATTCTAATACAGGCATTCATGAATTTTTATTGTGCAATAAACCAGATGTCAAGAAAACAATGTGTTTCAGAGCTCTTTTAAGAACATAATTTTGAGTATTTCATTTTTATTTAGAATTGCAGTTTGTTTTTTTTTGTTCCTCAGAGTGCGTGTTTCACTTGTGAGATTTGGTTACGCAAGTCACATTGTATTCTCTTGGCCTGTTTTATGCTTAAAATGTAACATGACATGATTGTTAAAAACTGTAATAAAATATTGGATCAGCCTAAGAAATCCTCTTTTTCTAGCTGGTTTTCTGGAATGGTAAGTGCTTCAGAAAAAAAAAATCAAATAGATTTAACTAATTACAGAAAAGTTGTGGCTAGCTCACTGCTCTCTTTCTTTTCCCATGACCTTCTAATTTTGTCATTTTTTTTTCCTCTGTCTGTGACCAATTAAAATATGACAGCAGAGCAAAAAACGTAGTCCAAATGCCCAGCAGCTGGGATATAGAGGTAATAATCCATGTCCTGGAATCATAGGAAATAGAGAAAGGATAAGTTGCACATAATTTAATCTCTCTATTTCTACTTGTGCATAGCTTTTCCTCAAAGTGCATTTCTTAAATTTACTCCTCATTTAATACATGGATGTATTACTAACATTATAGTGGTGTTTAGTTTTGTCAGTTTGTCTTTTCTATTACAGAAGTAAAATTAATCCTGCCTAGGTCAGAAGGATGGGCTGGATGACTTCTCAAGATCCTTTACAGACAGTTCTGTGACTTCATAGCTCTCAATGAACTTTCTGTACTATGTTGTGCCTTTGGATGATGGTGTTTTGCTCTGTGTAGTTGTCGTGGTTTAACCCCGGCTGTAAATCAGAACCACGCAGCCCTCTCGCTCATTCTGTGCCTTTCTTCCTCTCCTCCCCAACCCTGCTCCTGGAGGGATGGGGAGGAGAATCGAAAGAATGCAACGCCCACCAGTTGAAATAAGAACAGTCTGGTAACTAAGGTATAACACAAACCCACTACTGCTACCACCAATAATAATAATGATAATAATAATAAGAGAATACAATAATAATAAGAGAATACAATACCACCCGTTGATACACAGCCCGATTGAGCAGAGTCAGCCCTTCTGGGTAACACTCAGTTTGCATCCTGGGAATGATGTGCTGTGGTATGGAATACCTCTTTGGCTAGTTTGGGCCAGGTGTGCTGTCTCTGCTTCCTCCCAGCTTCCCATCCTCCCTGGCAGAGCATGAGACTCAGAAAATCCTTGGCCAGACTAAACATTTGAGCAGTAAATAAAAACATCGGTGTTATCAGTGCTGTTCCCAGGCCGAAAATCAAAACCACAGCGCTGCACCAGCTACTAAGAAGGAGAAAAAATGACTGCTACTGCTGAACCCAGGACAGTAGTATTTTATAGAGATACCTCTTCCTGTGTATTAGAAAGAAAAAGTGCTTTTCAGATTTTGGTTCACATCTCTGTCCTCATTCTGCAAAAGAATTAATTAAGAAGCTGTAATTTAGAGGTCATAAAGTGCTCAACACGCTGACTGCGTTCCTCTTTGTTTTATTGTTCAGTAGTGTGAGGGGGAGGAGGGAAGACAACTAGTTTTTTTCCTCTTAGAAGAGAAATGAATTTGGGTTCACTTTGGTGTCTCATTCTGCCACTGTATGCTTGTCTGGGGTCAGAAATCTTGTAAGAATGGACAGGGCTCATATATATGAGTCATGAGACCTATTTTTTTACTGTGTCAAAGCTCACTACACATCAGATGATCTTCTGTGGTTGCAGTGAAAAGTGTCAGAATTTACCATTGAGACTGGTTTTCTAGGTGTACTGGTTTAAGTTGCTGGATAATTCCAAATATTTTGGAATAGCACCAATTACTCTTTTTTATTATCATTAAAAATTGCTAATAAACTGTAAAGTGTAAGGATGCCATTCTCAGTGGTTAGCATTGTTATGGAGCGTGCTTTTCGCCCTGTGACTTGATAAGCAATATTTTGCCATTTTATCCTTTTCTTCATAATTGCATGAACAGCTCTTCGCCCAATTGCTTTTAGTGTACGTAAGTTCATGTGAACATTTGATAAGTGACTGATGAAGTCTGGGTAACTTTCTGGTATCAAAATGACTAAAAGCAGCTAGGAGAGTTCTGTTCCAGAGAAGCCATAGATCTTTAATACTACATGAGAAGATCAAAGATACATGTTTAATTGGTTTAAAACTTCAGCAAACCCAAAACTGGAATACAACCATTTAAATATCTGTTCTGGGGCACAGTGCTGCTGCATATTGAATGCTTTCTAGTATATATACTGCGTTCCCAGTATACACTCATAAGTGTGGTTACTCAGTATTTCACAGGGTGAATTCTACATGGAGGAACAAGCTCTGTTTTCTGAAACTTTTCTTGTTGCTGATTTCTGAGCAGTTTAGCCAGATAGAAATCTGTGAAAGCTACAGGTGTGGATTGTCAAGACTTCTCAGGTCTGTCTCCTGCTGTTTCATATCTGAATGGGCCTAAAACTGTCCTCACATAAACCACCTAGTATGCATGTAGAAGACTCTGAAAACCGAACTCAGATTTGTACATGTATTTTCAGTAGATGCTTAAGAAGGAGTTAAAGATTTTTTTTTTTTATTAGCTGTTCCTCTCTGTGTACTTATGCAGTCTTCCGTTACTTTATTCAAGTTAAAAGTCTCATACAGACGTTAGCATGACTTATGCATTATGAGATATATAAAAGATAAGTAACTAGAAAATATATTTTGAAACTCTACCTTTATTGAGGTAGAGCCTATCAGCACTCTGATAGGCTTCAATATTAGTAACATTTAGGCCTCTTTCTGTGTTTTGTTCCACAGGCAGCAGGAGCAATTCGTCCTCTAGTTTCTACTGTTATTGCCTCTGCTGCAGATGGCTGCCTAGATCACTCATTGGAACGTGCCAAGTATAGAGCGAGTGAAATGCCTCAGGCCTTCTTGTTTGATATAATCTATGAAGCTTACCAACAGGTAAGACTTTGAGACTTTCTAAGACTTTTTTCCATTTGGTTTAGTTTAAAAAAAAAAGTAGCTATTTATCTTCTTTCAAAAATCAAGATTGAGCATCTGTTTCAGATCACAACCGTGTGCATGTTACTTCTCTGTGGTCTTTTGATGAAAATGTTTTCTATTTCTAATGTCTTCAAGTTTTTTGATTATCAAACTACCAAAAACAAGAGGAGGTGGGGGGTCTAAACTATTAGAAAGATTTGCTTTAATTTTTATTGTGCATTAAATACATTGCTTAAATGAGAGGGTTAATGTGTTTAAAGTTAGGTATGTATTAAGTACGCATTGTTGACTAAGTATCAGGAGTTTTGGGTGCACAATTTAATAATGACATTAATATGATGTGATACAGTCTCGTCTAAAATATTTGGACAATATTGATAAATTTAGGTAAGTAATTAGTTTTGTGTTACATGTGTATTGTACATACTTTGATTAGTGGCTGAAAATAATTTTACTGAAGTATCTTCTGTAATTCTATTTCTTTTTTCTAATATATTGCTTTAACATCATCTTTATTTAAGAAAATAAAAATGGCTGGTAGTATATTAAACCCTGACTCTGTTGCCTTTATCCTTCTTGATGACTGCTTTCATTTGCCCCACCCTGCATTCACAGTTTACTGGAAACGCTCCAGGCTTTCGTCTCAGCATTCTACTTCCTTTTCATTCATCACCTTGTGGAAATTGCCTGTCCTCCAGGTATCTTCCAGGCTGACTGAAAGCAGAGTATTTCTTTATTTTTCATTTCAGTACTGATGATAGTCGTGCTTCCCATAGGTGTTTCATTTCTAGAGTAAACAAGCCCAAGTTACTGATACCCACCTTCAGAGAGTACACAGCTTAGAAATCACCAAGGCAGAACAAGTGGTATGGACAAACAATGAAGAAAAAACAGTTGCTTGATATTCAGTAATTGTTTTACTTAGAAATGTTGGCATGAGTTCCATGTCATACCCTTTATGCATGATACTTGAAGCTATCCTTAGATGCTGAAGATGAAGCACTGTCCAAGATAAGAGCTACTCAAGTGGTTGGACTAGCTCCAACCTTTTTACTTCTGATGGGAAGCAGGGGGGATGTTCTTAGTGTACACAATAACACGCAGCTGATACAGTTACTTTGAAAGTGAGGCTTTAGCTTGAAAGTAGCGGGCATACTTAAGATAAAGGCAGCATATGTAAGGGTGTAAGGGTGGTGGGGGCCATACTGTAAGGGTGGTGAGGCACTGGAATGGGTTGCCCAGGAAAGTTGTGAATGCTACATCCCTGGTGGTGTTCAAGGTCAGGTTGGACAGAGCCTTGGGTGACATGGTTTAGTGTGAGGTATCCCTGCCCATGGCAGGGGGGTTGGAACTAGATGATCTTAAGGTCCTTTCCAACCCTAAGTGTTCTATGGTTCTATATATGTGCATAGAATACATCTCAAGAGACAACAGCTACCGTTGATTGTACAACTGTTCCTTTCTTGTTGAGGTGTACCTCTTTTCCAAATTACATATTTGTGTTGTTTCTTAGAAAAAACCAACAACAGCTCAACAACCCAACAAAACACAAATCCCCAAACAAACTTATTTTTTCCTGCTGTGTTTGCTTCTAGTTTGCAGATACAGTAGAGCTGGCAAACACGTGAAAAGCTTTTGCCCTAAATGCCTTGCTCAAAAGGCAACTATATTTTCAGTCCCTATGCTCCTCTGAATAGTGTTCGCTTCTCACATATGCATTCCATCAGTTGTCTTTTTTGTATCCCTGCTCTTTCAAGAGCAAGCCACCAAAGTTGTTAGCAAGCAACCAAGGCTATGGTTCCTTGTCCCCAGTTCCCTTTGCATTGGCTAAATCGTGGTCATTTAAATGTTCTGTGCCTTGGAGCTCTGGGAAGGATAACACTTCACTAAACTTCTCAACTCATTATTCTTTGTTAATTATTTATGTTTCAATGGTATCTAGCTCTCCAAGTTAAGGATTAAGACTATTGTTCTGGGAACAGTAAAAAAAAAAAAGAAAAAGATAATTGTTGTCCTGAAAAACTTAGACAAGCTACTGTAGGACAGATTTTTGTGGGAATGAATGTATGATGCTTCCTAAACATTAACATACCCATAATTAGTTTCTAACCTAGGCAACCTAGTGAAGTAGGTAATAAGTATCATTATACAGATGAACAAAAAAAAAGATAAAATAGTTTTGTCACTCAATTTGGAGGTCATTCGCAAAGCTGGGAATGGAATTAATTTTGGTTGACTTGGCATGGGATCATGATCCTGCTCCTGTGTATTTTTCACAGTTGTGACCTTTATGCAACAACAGTGTGGGGAAAAAACAACAGTCAAACGTGCATTCCTTAGAAAAAAGCTCTCTATTTGAATTATCTCTTCAAGTAACATAGGCTTTTCTGTTGCATTGTGGGTAATGTGGAATACTGCTTTTAAACTCTATTTAATGCATCAGATGCATCATCTGATATGAGTAAGTAGATTTATAAAGTTTACTTCCAGATACGTTGTTTTTCCTGAATGTAAGATCTCTGAGTATCTTGACCACTAAGTTGCAACATTCAATTAAAGATCAGTTCTCTGATTTTTACACGTTTGCCATCTGTGGTCTTTTTTGCTCTTGTCTGATACCAATCTTGACAGAATAGACTAGTGCTCCTTCTCCATTTATTGCTGGATTGAATGTATTTAGAACTAGAAAATATTAAGCTATTAACACCACTAAAATATCTAAAAATAGTTTTGTACAATCTTTATCAAATTAAAAGTAATTTCCTTAGAAAACTTTTTTTTTGTTTCTTGCTTGATTAAAAAAAAAAAAAGTAATGATTTTTACACGCCAATCCAAAAAATGTTGCTGAGGTACTGGATTCTGCTAGGTCTTCTGGTGGTTTTGACTAATTCTGAATGATGCTTCTTAACCACACTGAAACAATACTGTAGATTTTTAAAAATATTTCATAAAAAATAATCTCAGACTTTTTCAGTAAGCATCAATTTTAACATAAAATAGTGGTGGAAGCAACTTTTTTGATACCTGCATATGTGCTTGAGAGGAAAGAAAACAAAAAAAGACATTCAGGTGTTCCTTATTTTTACTTTTTTATTGGGGGAATGCAAGCAGCTTGAGAACCATTGTTATTTCTTGGAGAAAGCAGAATTGGGAGTACTTTGTGTCTGCCGTCTTGTGATGCAGCAGGTAAGTGAAGGTGCAGCAGGAAAGGGGAAGCTTTTCAGCATTCTACCTCAAATGATAATTGCTCCAGTGCAGCAGGGTCAGAAGACCACTGTTCAGGAAATAGCTACTTCTTCCACTTCGGAATAGTGATACTGATTTTAACGTTTTTCTGAAGTTTCTGTAATGTTCTACATTTTACTTTTAACTTGGGGTATCTCTTGGCCCCTGTGTTGGACATCACATAAGCCAGACTTGAAAATATTTAAAGTCAGTATTGAAATTAAGCATCTGTTCAGCGCCCACAACAGCCAGTGGAGCAAAAATGGTGTCTTGATCAAAAGACCTCACTAATTTGACTTATGTGTCATTAGATAGAGCACTTAGCTATAATAAATGCATAGGCATTATGGAATTTTGGCTCCTACCCTTATGTATAACACTGCTTAATGTTTTCTGTTGCAAGCCTCTGTGTTCAGATGGTTCTATGAAGCATGGCAAAACAGCTGTTTTGCTCTGTTTCAGTGAAATACTCCGATGCCTTCACTTTGAAGTAGGACTTTGGAATTTAGAATCATAGCATGGTTAGGGTTGGAAAGGACTTTAAGATCATCTAGTTCCAATCCCTGTGCCATGGCCAGGAATGCCTCACACTTGATGATGTTGCCCGAGGCCCTGTCCAACCTGTACTTGAACACGTCCAGGGATAGAGCGTTTACCTCTTTTCTGGGCAACCTGTTCTATTTCCTCACCACTCTCACAGTAAAAATCTTCTTCCTTATATCTAACCTGAACTTCCCCTGTTTAAGTTTAAACCCATTATCCCTTCTTCTGTCACTGCAGTCCATGTTGCTGACAAAGATGTTGAACAAGATTGATCACAACACTGATCCCTAAGGGACACCACTCGTTACTGGTCTCCAGCCAGACACTGAGCCATTGACCACAACTCTTTTCATGCAGCCATCCAGCCAGTTCTTTATCCACTGAGTGGTCCATCCATTAAATTTGTCTCTCTAGTTTAGAGACAAGGATGTTGTGCACAAGTGCAGGTCGATGACATCAACTGCTTTTCCCCTATACATCAGTTTGGTGGCCCCATCATAGAAGGCCATCAAATTGGTCGGGCAGGATTTCCCCTCGGTGAAGCTGGGCTGGCTGTCGCCAACCACCTTGTTTTTCATGTGCCTTAGCATGCCTTCCAGGAGAATCTGCTCCAAGATTTTGCCAGGCACAGAGGTGAGAGTGACTGGTCCGTAGTTCCCTGGGTCTTCCATTTTCCTCTTCTTGAAAATGGGGGTGTTATTTCCCTTTTTCCAGTCTTCAGGAACTTCATTTGTATTGGGATAGTTCTGAGGTGAGGAAGGATGAATTATACAGGCTTCCCTACATATGCCTGTGAGTGTTACTGTGTCTCTCATATTTATACCTCCTCACCTCATATTCTTATGAAGTACAGCACTAATTTCATGCCCTTCAATTTGTTAAATTTATAAAATTTAGAAAAGTTGTAGCTTTTATTTGTATGATGTGTGCTTGACACAAGGTGGATAAATGACAGATGCAAACAATTGAAAGGGGAGAAAGAACTGTGTTTGTAGTGTATGTGGTATCTTGCAGACAGGAGCCTTTACCTTATCAGGGGTTTTCCTTGGGATGTTGGGTAAAAGGACATAAAATGTGTTAAGGGGTAAACGTAATAAGGCAACAGTGCTTTTAGTTCTGGTATGTCCTAATTTGTGATTTCTTGTTTCCTGTACTATGTAATGAACCATACCAGTAACCTTCAGTAAAT